TTGAGGATGTGTACAGGAGGAGAGCCGTGTGCAGAGGTGAGGGTGTGTGCAGGAGTGTGTAGGATTGAGGATGTGTACAGGAGGAGAGCCGTGGGCAGGGGTGAGGGATGGAGGAAAGCAGGTGGTGGGAAGCTAGCTTAGACTAGTTTTGATGTCTTAAGAATCCAGACAAAAAGACAGTTAGTGAGCCAAGACCACTGACTCTGTCACTGCTGAGTTCTCTCTCCTGAGTGAGGATGGGCCCTGCCCTCTCTTCCTGAGTCATGGCTTATGATGCTTCATCCCCTGCTCCTCTCATGGACGTAAACTGTTAGACTCTGAAGCAAACTCCTGACTTCCTAACCCACACCACTCCCACGCCTGCATTTATAAGCTCCACTCACAGCTTCCGTGAACTAAACAATGAATGTGTGGTTGACTGGGGGGCCTCTGAAGCAAATGACTAGCAAACCCCAAAATGAATGCCTTCTCACCCACGGATGTGCTGGTATGTAACTCAAAGTTTTCAGGAATAAGTTTTGAAGGAAACTGTACTGAAACATTGCGATGAAAACTTCCATAGTAATACCCTGGTTCTCTTCAGACCATGTAAATCTTTTAAATTTGGCATAGTGTCAATTAATAATTAAAACTTTGTAGAATAAAACATGTCTTTTAAAATTTTATATAAATAATCATAAGTGCCTTCAGGTTCATAGAGCACTTTCTTTTCTAAGACCCCCTTATTCTTTTAGGGGACATGTTCACAACGTTTAAGAGGGGCTCGTTGTAACAGGGGTGAAGCTATCACTTTTCCCTCCTAGACGGGCTGTCTAGCTTCGTGTCTAGACTTTCCGCCATGCGCTCTGCACATCAGGCTCAATCCCAGTCCTGCTCTGGGGGTGAGCTGCTGCCTGCAAAACAATCATTATCAGAAGGTAACCTGACTTTGAAAATGCAGTAAAGGTCAATTAAGATGCAGTTGCTCCTCCAACGCCAGTCATTTCAGGAAGCAAAGGAGCACTAATAATACTGTGTGCACCAAGAAACCAATTAGAGAGTAGGTAGGAAAAAAGCAGGGCGGGGCCGGCGGTAGAGAAGAGATAGAAGGAGAACTATAAGGCAAGGTCTGGGAAGATGAGGCAGCCCTGGCTAGGGGTGGAAAGAAAAGGAAACGAGGTATAGAAACACAATGTACCTAAAACCATCCCAGCTCTTGGGTTCCCCAGGTCTGATGACAGATGCTGTTCATACTTCTGGGCAGCCTTTCACAGGTCTGAGGATTCTGGTCCCATCCGTGGGCACTCCTTCCCACAATTGTCTGTGAGTACTGGTCACACCTCAGTTCTAACCAGACTGGATATCATTTGCTCTCACTAAAACTGTCTTCCTGGCTGTCTAGAGGTATCTATCCAGCAAGCCAGGGTTCTTATACACTCCAGTGGCAAGTGCTCTGGATCCCAAAGTGTGGCTAGACCACCATTTTAAAATGGCATCATTCAACTATTCTTGTTGAATACCAAGAAGAGTGTTTCCCTAGCGCCTCCCCTTTCTCTGCCAGTCCACAACTTTTAACTCTCTTCTCCTTGGATTTCGCTCTTTCGAGTGTCTGTTAGTGGAAGTACAGGGCAGATTTAGGCCATGGCTCCAGTCTAGCAAGGAGTAGGAATGAGCTCCCCAAAGCTCACCACGCCTCCAGGATGGAGTCTTCACTTTATTCCCCTCCTGCTCAGCTAAGTCCCTACTGCACTTGTTATTGAGACTAGAGATTTTCAGCCTTCACCTACCTCCTCTGAGGTTTGTTAGTTACCTAACTTTTCCTGATTTGTTCCCAAGGATGCTGGCAGGCCATGTCTGCGTGTATTCTGGGTACTCTTTCTCTCTTTGTACCACACTGCCTGACCCCAAAAAGAACTGTCAGCAACTAGGAGCCTCCAAAAGAGGGTAAAGGCACCTTTTCCTCCTGTTCCCTAATAAGGATGCCAGAGAAGCAGACTCAGGAGGGTGTGGGGCTAATGTGGGTGAGAGACAAGAGCTCGGTGCAGCTGTGCTGGGCTTCCATGACTTCTGAAAGGGAAGAACGCGGGTCTGTCTAGGAAGGTTTGACAAAGATGGTCACAGTGTTCCGACTCCACGTGGGGGGCAACCGAATGCAGGGGAAGCAAAAGCTTGTCAACAGCAAAGAGTTCCTGAATAGCGACCAAAAATTTAGTTAAAAATCAAATATATAATGAATCCCAGGTGTGTCCAGCAGCCTTCATCCATATTACATTGTGTAATTTCTCCCAGCCTTGGTTCTGTACCCACAATATGCATAGTTTACACTGGGCATGGTATCTCAGCATGTGATGCCGCTGGTGAAGCACAGTACCTCACTCCGGTTTAAGACTGTTGAAATTATGTGTTATTATGATACATACAACATTTTCTGCTCTTACAATAGTGTATGGGAAAGCAATGATTTTTATCATGTTCCTAAAAGTCATCCCTGTTATGGAAGGAAATATCAAACCAATGTATCTTTGGGATGTTCTGTGTTAGAAAGCAAGCATCTCAATTGGACGGTAAATCTGTCTTAATCATTAGTAAGTGGTAAAACAAAAATTTATGTGTATGGCAAAAATTAAGATAAAATTCTTTGTGATTTATTATCAGTAAATGATTAATTTGTATAGCTATTTTATATGCCTATATACCCGGGTTGGTTATATCTTTCTCGGAAATAAAAAGGGTTATACATGGCGGAAATTTTAAGAAAAAAACATTCAGCCTGGAAGGCAGTTCTGTGACTTAGGAAGATCCAGAACTCAATTCCCAGGGAGAAAAAAAGGTCAGCCAACAAGGATGAGATGCCCTAGGGGAAAAAAAAAAATGAGTGAGACGTAATCCTGCCTCCCCAGTGTTCCAGAAGAGGCACCGAGAAAAGGCCCGGGAGGAGGCTAGCAGTGTGTTAGTCCCACATTTGATGAATTAGAGTTCTAGTAACAGGAAAGGTAAATTTCATAAACTATGAAATTCATTGATCAGTTATATTCTGCTCAGCCCTCTGACATCAGCTGACAAATGTTTATTGAATCTTGATTATGGCAGCCACAGGGTACACAAAGATAAATAGTGTGGTGATAAATATCAGCTGGTTGGTGATATCGAGTTCTACTGCTGTCCCTTCCTTATAAAGATTAGATTACGGATGTTGACATCTGTCTGCTGCATTACATAGTTCCTGTGTGCCCTAACCTGTCTTTTGCCAACAATTCTCTAGATCGGAGGAAGTTTCCATTTTAAATTCTTTATTCAATTTTAATTCATCTTTTGCTTTAATATGCTGAATCGAGGTTCTATTGCTTTCTTATCTACCAAACATAAGTTTTCTTTACCCGCTAGTTGATGAGGAGCTGTTGTGATAATTTAGATTTAGTAATAGATAGCAGTATATAGAATATAGCACCACGCGGAATGTGCACATTGTAGCGGAACTGTTGAAAACAGCATTTCCTGTCTTTGGAGCCACTGATACTGTGGGCCACGCTGTCTCTTCCATTAGCTACTCCAAATTCTGAGAGCACTCCCCAGTCTTGGCTGTGACAGCCAGCATTGTCACCAGACGTTATCGAATCCTGTGTCCCCGAGGGCACAGATAATAGAATCAGAGTGGCTACTGTGCTCCAGGTTAGTCCTCACAATATCTGCAGTAGCTAATTCTGACAACCCAGGAAAGCCCTAAGCCACACTTCGCTGCCTGCCCTTAGCACTGCCCTCCTATGCATGGCAGTTGCCTGTCTGAGTCCCATTACTTCACATGAAAAGTAGTCTTTAAGTTTTTCCTAGTCATTTGTTCATTTTGCAATTTATTTCAGAGATTTTAGTTCTGGAAATATCAGAATGAAATATGAAAGAGAAATTGGTGTGTAATGATCTATGGGGGTAAGGGGTGTGTGTTCCATGAATACCCGTTGCTCTACCCATCTATGTTCTGAACACCCTCACATAAGTGAAGTGAAGTCTCAGAGGTCCTAATACAATCAGAAAGAAGAAGAAATGGTTTAAAAAGTTAAAAGATGAAAACAGACATGATAGCAAAGTCCAGGAACGCAGCACACGGGAGGTGGAAACCCAAGCACCAGAAATTCAAAGTCATCCTTGATGAGTTTGAGACCGGCCTTGGTGGGATTCATGAGACCCTGTTTCAAAAATAATAACAGTGATAGTAGCAGTAGTAGAAGTAATATAATGTGTTATACTCTAAATACAGCAAAGGGCAGTGGGGATTTCACAATGCTCTCTGCCAGTGGCTTTAGTATCATTTTAATCTCTGCAGTCTAAGATCTTAACTAATCCTTGATGTTGATTTCTTCTGGCCCACCCAATAGGATTTTCTGGAGAAGACAGGTGCACTTGGCAGCAGGGATTCGGCCCAACACCATCACCAGCTCCTTCCCCCAGCTCATGTCCAACGTGGATGCAGCTTATGAAGTTCCTGAGCGAGGCATTGCTTTCTTCTTCAAAGGTATCTGCAGAGAAATGCCAGGGCCTTGGTGCCATGCCTGTGTGACTCGGTGCTCTTGGTGCCAAGCCTGTGTGACTCGGTGCTCTTGGTGCCATGCCTGTGTGACTCGGTGCTCTTGGTGCCAAGCCTGTGTGACTTGGTGCTCTTGGGCAGGTTTCAGTTACTCCTTCTCAGGTTGGGCACTAAATATCACTCCACACTGTTGTAGCCATGGCAGGAATGGCAGTGACTATCAGCAGACCCCAGTGTGGGAGGTCCTTCTGTCTATGTGTTGCTTTTATTGGCTAATCAATAAAGAAACTGCCTTGACCTATAGCATGGGAGGAGGAAGGCGGAATTAGAGAGAAGCCATGGAGCAGCTGGAGACACACTGCTGAAACTTTTCTAGTTGGCCATGACCTCGTGGTGATGCACAGATTAATAGCAAGGGATTAAATTAATATGTTAGAGTTAGCCAATAAGAAGGTAGAACTAATGGACCAAGCAGTGATTTAATTAATATGGTTTCTGTGTGATTATTTTAGGTTACACCAATCTGTTGCAGCAGGCCGCTTGTTTGTTCCAGTTGCCCAGAACCGAAATGACCACTCAGAAAACCATATTATTTGCAATAGTTTGGCCAATAGCTTAAGTGTATTTTTGGCTAAACTCATATCCTAAACTAACCCATCTCTATTAATCTGTGCACCGCCATGAGGTCATGGCCTACCAGCAAAGTTTTAACGCTTCTGTCTCTGGTGGCAGCGGCTCCATCCATGACGTCTCTCTCTCTGCCTTCCTTCTCCCAGCATTCAGTACAGTTTCGCCCACCTACCAAGTTCTGCCCTATCAACAGGCCAAGGCCTGTTTTTCTTTATTTTCTTTATTTCTTTATTCATTAACCAAAATAACCACATAGACAAAAGGACCTCCCACCACCCCAGCACCAGTCCTTGAGCATAGTCAGCTGCGTGATCAGAACCGGGGGCTTATAACCAGGCCCTGGCCTCCTGGTTTAGAACCACATGGCACACTCTAGTGAGATCCTTTAACATTCCTTGAAATCCTTGCTACAAAGTCATGCTTAGAGCAGCTGGTCGGACATGAAGTCCTGTGACTTCGGGAGACAAATCCACAGGCATCCGATCTCAGGCTTTAACCCTTCATTATTTGAATAACATTGAGACATTATCCAGCTTCCATGAGATTTTATTTCTCATCTGCAAAGTGATTGGAATAAGACCAATCTTGAACGTATGTCTCGGCAGTAGACAGTCAAGCAAAGTCACCTGGAACACACTGACTGTAGCTTTGCTGACACAGAAGACTGTTGTCAACTTAAGTGAAAAACTTCATTAGATGTCACTTGTCTCCTGTTCTTCGTGCGTACATGAAGGTGAGGGAAGTTTATTTTAAAAAAATGTACTGAAAACACAAAGGTGCTAAGTGTAAGAAGACACAGATTTCTCAAGGTATAAATGTAGCCTTGCCTCAGGGAAGTTTGAAGTCTATTATTATTTGAATTGCGTAACGAGATGTCTATATCCACATGGACTCGCCCCACTTACAGTCCAGGACACGGTGTCTTCAGTGGTGAAATGACTCGGTGAGTGTCACAGAATCTCTGCAGACTCCACCTTTGCTTTCAGGTCCGCACTATTGGGTCACACGAGGATTCCAGATGCAAGGTCCTCCCCGGACAATTTATGACTTCGGGCTGCCAAGGCGCGTGCAGCGAATAGATGCTGCGGTCTACCTCAGGAAGCCCCAGAAGACGCTTTTCTTTGTGGGAGAGGAATACTACAGGTATGGTTTTAACCCTTCATTTCTTCAGATGTAACTGATGGGAAGGAAAAAAAATCTTCTGCAAAAACTTGGACAGGCAACTTGACAGCAGGCTGTTTGAGTTCTCAGCTGAGGGCAGTCTTTAAGATACAGAGCAATAGGCAACCATCTGATTGTCTTTAGGACCAGCATTGTAATATTTCAGTGAATTCATTAACTTGGCCCCAGTGACCTGAAAGAGTGGAGCTGGTGTCTCCAGGTTCATCACTACCATGTACAAATGCCTGATTCCACTATTGCATAAGATAGAAATCTTTGGGATTTGAAGCAGAAATGGAGGTGGTCACAACGGAGGTGGTCACAACAGAGGTGATCACAACAGAGGTGGTCACAACGGAGGTGGTCACAACGGAGGTGGTCACAACGGAGGTGATCACAACAGAGGTGGTCACAACGGAGGTGGTCACAATGGAGGTGGTCACAATGTGATGCTCTTTGGAAGAGAGCTCGTCTTAAAGGAAAGGCCTTCAGAGAAGTCTTCTACCCAAAGTAGAACATAAGGACTTCTCACATGAGGGAAGCTGTGTATAATCCTCACGGCTGTCCTTCAAAGGTTACAGTGAGCAGATCTGCCTAAGATCAGACCCAGCATCCAGTCACTGCACATGGGATCACACCATAGCTACCGGCTAAGGTTTTAGGAACTGATTAAGGCTCTCTGCCAAGCACCCACAAAGATCACCTCAACACCCCCACTACCCTCCCTGCTTCCATTCCCTTGCTGTTGCTCATTTCCATGAACATCAAACAAGAAATGAAAACAGGTTCTAAGCAGGTAGCTGTGACAAACACCATGTGTCCGCGGTGGGGCTCTAAAGGAAATCAGGAGAACACCCAGCTTGGGAGAGAAAGCTTTTGTCTCATTTTATGTTCTTTATCTATCCATATCCATCTATCTATCTATCTATCTATCTATCTATCTATCTATCTATCCATCTATCCATCATCTATCCATCTATCCATCATCTATCTATCATCTATCCATATCTATCCATTTATCTATCTATCTATCTATCTATCTATCTATCTATCTATCTATCTATCTATCATTTATCCATATCCATCCATTTGCCTGTCTATCTATTTATCTCATCTATCCACCCATCCGTCTACCTATCAATCTATCTATCCATCATCTATCTATCTGTCTGTCTGTCTATCTATCTATCTATCATTTTAGTTTGCTTTCTTTTTTGAGACAAGGTTTCTGTTTGTAGCCCTGGCTATCCTGGAACTCACTCTATAAACCAAGCTGGCTCCAATTCAGTGATCTTCTGGCCCCTGACTCCCAAGTGCTGGGATTAAAGGTGGATGCCTCTATGCCTGGCATCATTTTATGTTATTTCACTTAAACAACCATTTTCAAAAGAAACTGACAGAAAGTAACCTTTATCTTTTCTAACCTGACTGACACTTTCCTTCGTAATCTGGATAAAAGAAAGTAGTGCAATTAGTTACACATATTTCAGGAGGATTTTATTATTATTATTTTATGAAAACCCAAACAGTAGAGGACACTACTGACTCCTCTCAGCCACAGGGAGCCCTGGAAGTGTTGCTCAAATCACTGTGTACTTCCTGAGAGAACTGTGGCTTCAGGTCCAGCATTCACCGCTATGCCAGCTCCTGTTTTCTCAGAACTTACCATTCTGAAACATACTCCTGAAATTCATCAAAGGACACATCAGTGTCCTCACGTTAGAGTGCATTCCACGGGCTTTCTCTAACACCAGCTCTGTGCTGACAAGGCCAGCAAGTAACTTGATTTCCATGGTGGATTTCCGTGAACCAGATGGATAGATGCCTGTGTGGGCGGGGATGGGGAGTACAGTTCAGTCTGTTTCTCAGTGCGCAGGGCCTGATCTCCCTGAAGGGCTCCCCTGCACTAACACAGTCTGTCTTCATGTTTGTCTGTGGCCCACCACAATACTCGGTGAAGGACGCTGAATGGAGGGTGGTGAGGGCAGAAGTCTCAGCTCTCTGAGGTGGGGACTGGGGAAGGAGAGCATCTCTGGTTTCATGATCTCCAGTGCCATCAGTGGAAACAGCGGTGCATCTTCGAGCTGGATTTCCATGGCTGTCTATGAAGGAAGAGTCTTCATTTATTATTATCTATTTCTATTTCTCAGGAGGTGCACGTGCCATGACACTGTGTAGAGATCAGAGGACAGCTCTCCAGATTCACATCTCCCCTTCCACCATGGGAGTCCCAGGGATTTAACTCTAGCGTCAGGCGTGGCAGCAGGTGCTTCTATCTGCTGAGCTATCTTGCAAACCAAGAGTGTTCAGTAATCTAGGTTAGGAGAACCCCTTACCAAGTTGATCTGGGACACTAACTTAAATGTTAATGAGCTCATTTTGCCTCTTAGGGAAGGAAGGCATCTTCCACGGAGTTAGGTAGCATGATGTTGCCATGTGTTCAGACACTGGGACAGGATCTGGAGAGCAGAAAGTGAAAATCTTAACAATAGTAAACCCTCATCATAACTGATAGGCAGTCGTTTTTAAATCTGTGCTCATTAACAAATGATTAATTTAACCTTGGTATCCCTCTGAGCAGCAAGGAAGTCAAAGAGGAGATCAAAAGAACTTCCTATTAAACTGTGGAAAGCCCGACATTAGACTGTAATTACCGCCGTTTCCAAAGCATAGACGCATGTATGCATGGTAGGAATCCGCTGATTTCTGCTCTACTGTGTGCACTCAAGTCCAGAATAAAAAAAAAAAAAACCTACTGGCAGCCCTGTTGGTAAAGCTTTACAAAGCCTCATGCCCACAGCATAACTGTCATGCTAGCCCTTCCGTTGCTTAGAAAGAGAGGTCAGCTGCAGGTGACCCCAAAATCCCTGGGATTCTGATACCTGAGACTTTTTAATACGCATGAAACAGCTTGAGCAGAACCCCAGCTGGATGGTGACTCCGAGGTCACCAGGACCCAAGTCTTTTCAGATATTCTGTGCCCATATGTTTTATTTTGTTACATTTTTATTTCTTTTCTACAGGGTGTAGGGCACATGCCACCATGCACATGTGGAGGTCAGTTCTTTCCTGGGGACTGGGCTCAGGTTACCAGGCTCAGCAGGAAGTGACTTTACACACTGAGCCATCCATATTCTTAACACGTGGCTTCCATGCTTGTGGTTGCCTCAGGATTTGAGATGGCTTGTAGGTAGGATGGCTTGTAAGTATTCAATACTTCTTTCTTGTAAGAAGAAAAATTTGGAAAAGAAGGCAAAAGGAACAAATAAAGTTTCAGGCCAAGCATGGGGCCACACTAAAATAACCAGAAGGCCACATGATTTAAGGCATGGAGCAAGATCTCACGAATACCCACAGACCATGGGTTAGAGCTTACTCGCCTTAGTTACTTGTCAGGCTCCGTCTCAGTCTCCATGCTAAAGCAGGCTGTGATACAAACAAAATTAAAATTAAATTAAGCCTCTTAGTGGGGAAAAGGCTCCATGAGCTCTCAGGATTTGGGTTTGATTTAGTAACTGAAGTGCACAAGAAAATGGTTGAAGAAGTTCCACCATAGGGCACTGAGGGTTAGCTGGGGCTGCTCAGTTCAGGCCTTGGCCTATCACACAGCGGTAACTTACAGGAAGTGGCACACAAAGGGTTCAGGGGAAATCTTGAAGAACACTTGACTGAGTTGGCACCCTGACGTCACCAGATCACATCTCAAGAATGTGTGTGCCAATAATAGAACATGTTAAATCAATAACTCAGTAAGCTGGGCTATACAGGGCTGTTTCTCACACGCCATGCTCCCTCTGCTCCTTTCCTTCCACTTTCTAACAGGCCCTGCAGGCCAGCCAAATGTTTCTCTTTCTTCCATTCTCGACGGCTGACTTCTCCCTTCAGTCTTCTCCTTTATCCACCAATGGCAGCAGGATGGCGGTGTCTAGGGTCCTCATGAGGTGTGAATGCCCTTGTCTCCATCATTCTTTGTTATGATCAATGATTTCTCAGTTTTTGTGGGGTGATTTGCACATCCACAGATCCCGCCCCCTTTCCCTTCACACTGGCAGTGAGGACACAGGCTGGCGATATGGTAGGCTGGCGCCTCACTGCTGTAAAGGACACATTTCCCACATCTCCTTTCTGGATGCCCCTCTAATCCTGAAAGATATTTTCATTTAAAGATTTTATGTTTAGTTACCATAGTGAAATAAGTAGTAAGTGGGAAAAGTGAGACCGGTAAAGTAAAATTAGTTACTTATGAATGTCTTCAAACAACTCATCATGACCTAACTTCATTAAGCCTAGCTAATAGGTATGAGTATGTCCTAGACTCATTACCAGAATCTGGATACTCCAAAGAACGCACCGTTTCCAGCTAAGCGTGTGCAACAGAACTGAGAACAGCAGGAATGCACTACCGAGCCAACTTTGAGCCTTGAGTTCTAGCAATGCCCTGCACTCCCCAGCAAGTGTGAGGCCCTAATCTCAATCCGCAGCACTCTCACAGCATCGCTGAGGTCCTGAGTCTAACCCGCAGGGTAGCAAACCTGAGGTGTGAGCAGGAATACGGGATCACTGGTGCTTACGTCAAGCTGGCCAGCAATGATCAGGCTAGCTCTCCATCTCTTTATTTACAGAACAGAGCGAGAAACTGTACTCACTTCAGAGTTACTGAATTGAAAGATTAAAAAAAAAGTGTGATGCCTGTCACCTGCTGTATGCTCATAAATCATCCTACAGATCTATAGATAAATAAGTAACAGAAGTTCAAGTGCAAAAGCACTCTCATGGGAGCCGGCGTGGCTTTCAGAGAGCCAGATCAAAGAGGAAGCAGGTGGTCTAGCAAAGGTATCAGGAAAGAGTCCCGGAGGAAGTGATGGCCGTACCGCTGTGAGAGCTGCGTGGGAGTTTCCCAGGCAGGAGTGGGGGGAGCCGGTGTCTTCCAGGCAGAGAACAGCTGACGTAAGGCACTGAGACAAGAATAGGCTGCCCCCCCG